TTTTGTGTTCTATTTTAAATAACATTCCACAAAACTGTTCAAATGTATCATTTTACATTTTGTAAAACCATTAAAATATACCAAAGGTCATGTTTAGAACTTGAATTACAAACTTTTTCTTTGGGAGTATAATTTAATATTTGTACTTTGATGCATTGAGGTTTTTAATGTTATTGCCTTAATAACAGTTTTTCTTTTATTTTCTCTAAAATTCTGGTATTAGGAAATAGGATCGAAGTAGGTGAAATATATTTAAATATTGATTTTAATTTAAATATGTTTTCTATAAAGAAGGTAGAAAATCATATTCATCTTTTATTCCTAATTCCTATCTTGATAACTGGTTTATAATAGACCTGAATAAATATTTGTGCATTGAGCATCATACTTGAATCAGTATCTTTTTAGAAAAGTTCTATAACTGTGTCATAAGGGAGCGTGCAGCATTTCTAGCTCATTTTATTGCAGTCTTCTTTCCATAGTTGATATCAGGGTCAATCCTTAATTGCAAAAAGATGAGTTGGCTATGAAATGAGCATCTAGCAATCATCTCTCCATTATGTCAGCCAGAATACATTTCAGAACTGAAGTCATGCTATTCAAGAAATATATGTTTGCTGATGACATTTTAAAGAAAGCCACACTTTGTGTCACCCTGGCCCAGAGCTTCAGTCATGCGCAGAAGTTCTTCTTCATTATAGGCCTATTTTTCCCCAAGTATCACTTACCCTCTTGTGATTTATTTAAAGGTATATTTTTAGCTCCTTCATCTCCCCGTTTTCTCAGTTTCTTGTTTTGTATGCTGGATAGGATGTTAAAGTTTGGGGAAGAAGATGAGGATGAGAGTGGGGTCTATATCCCTTTTCGGCTTTTTCCTTAATTCGTAGTGCTGTCTCTCATCTTCTCAAGATCTCTTTTATCCATTCACTCCCTCACTCATTTTATTCATTCACTTTGCAAGCATATCATGTCTCTGTAAAATGTCAAGCCATGTGCTGGACATTTGGATAGAGAGGAAAATTACAGCGCCTTGCACAGTGTCTGGCATAGTCACCTCCCTCGAGGAGCAGTAGTAAAACGTCCCCTTAGGAGTGTTGCTCAGGTCTCCCCTTTATTTTGCAGTTGTAACAGTTAGTTTTAATTCCACGCTGAATTCTCACCCTTCTGTACAACTTATTTGGGTACCACATCATTATATTAGTCACATTAGCTGCCGTAACAAATAAGCCTTCCAGTTCCAGTGGCTTGGCACCCTGTGTGTTTATTAATTCATATTGAACAGTGCAATGTGGTTCCGTATCTCTGCTATACATGGCCATTTAAGAACCCAGGCTGAGGGAAGCTTGCCATCTTCCAGGGTCATTTTGGATGTCAGTGTACAAATTGGAGAAGGTAAAAGAGCATGGAGGATTGCATACAAGAGTTTTATGGGCCAGAGCCTGGAAACCATACATATCACCTCTCTTTCTTCCATTGTCTGGAACTCAGGCTCATGGCCATCTCTAACTGCAATAGAGATCTGGGAAAAACAATCAGAGTGTCCCAGAAGAAAGCCGGCTAAGCTGGGTTGAAGGAGAACGATGAACTTCCCACTTAAACCATAGGGTATGCTTTCTACAGCCCTGATTTTTTCCTTTAGTAATTGATTCTGTTTCAGAAATCCTTTTGAGAATTGAAATAGAGGGAAACATTTTATTTTCTTTTTCCAATACCATGAACATAGTAAAAGACTAGGAAAACAAATACTAGTTGAGCTTCCAAAACCCAGAATGTTCCAAAATCCAAAACTTTGAGTGCCAACGTGATGCTGAAAGGAAATGCTTGTTGGAGCATTTTGGATTTTGAAGTTTTCAGTTTTGGGATGCTTAACTGGTAAGTATAATGCAAATATTCCAAAATCTGAAACAATTGGAAATGTGAAACACTTCTGGTCCCAGGCATCTCGAATAAAGGATACTGAAGCTGTATTTGAAGGTTTTTCTGTTAACCTGCTAGGAGTGCTTTCTATTAGGAGACACTGCTCTTCTATTTTGCAGTATTGTTCTTCCCACTTTGAAGACCACTTTGGTGAAATCCCCTTGAGCCTCTTCCTTCTATCTTTGCTTCCCCAGACTGTTAGCAGTTGCATTTGCAGTGTCCTGCTAGAACTTGAACATACCTATGTTAGTTTAATTCATTCATTCATTCACTCATTCATATACTTATAATGGAGGGAAAGAGAGAAAGGGGAAGGGAAAGAAAAAGTTGAAATTCACTCTTACAGAATTACATACTGGATAGTACAAGGACATAGGGATATATATAGTACACTAAGCTCTACCTTGGGGATGAGAGAGAATGCTTCTTTTAGAGGAAGGGACTTTAGTTTGAGTCTCTTTCATACATGGATACTTTTCCTTTCCCAGACAATGAGCTTTTTGAGGAAAAGAGTCCTGTTTTTATAATCTCTGACTCCAGCACCCAGGATAGTGCCAGGCTTATACTAGATACTCAGTAAGTTGAATTGGCTGAATGAAGATATAGATGAATATATTTATAAACTTTATTTATGACACACTTTTCCATACATTATCTCATGCAGTACTCATCACAATTCTGTGATAGGACAGATATTATTATTCCTGGTTTATAGATAATGAACCCAAATTCAGAGAGATTTGGTGTTTTGCCAGTGTCATATAGTGAGTTAACAGAATAGATCTCGGGTGTTCTGCACCTAATCTTGTGTATTTTTTACTCTTGGAAATAAATATTTAAGTATCAGAATAGTGCTATGAATTTTGTAGCATGTGCTTTGGGGTGAACCATCAAACCACTTGAATCTCTTTGGGTGATGAAGGCTATTCATTTACATTGAGTCAAACAAAAATGTTCTTTTTTGTTTTGCTAACTGGCCAGATCAAGAATGTTCTTTTTAACAGAAGCAAAAATACAGTTCTTCCATCATGTATTATAGTGCCTTGTATTCCTGCCAGCATGTTCTTTTGTACCTATTTTTCTTAACTAATTGACAGTGATTTCAAATGAGTAAATTCGATTCACCTAAACTGGACAAGATTCCTATTAGAGACTGTCATAAGTTTTTAACCTATGTAATTATTGTGCCACAGGGGATAAAATTTGCCTGTAGGCCATTCTAATTCAAGGAATTTTTTTTTTTCCTTTTTGTCTTTTTCCGTGTCCGGCAACGGATCGCAACCCTCAGTGTCGCGCCCATACCGGACCGGGACCGGCAACGGGATCGCAACCCTCGGTGTTGCTCCCGCACCTCGCTCAGCCAGTGAGCGGGAACCGGTCTGTATGTGGGATCCGAACCCTCAGCGGGAGTGCCACCGCGCTCCCAAGCAGCGCACTGTAGCAGTGCGCCACCAGGCTGGCCCAAGGAATTTTTTTTTTTAATTCAGGGAATTTGTAACACACTAGCTTGGTTTCTAGTTTTTTTCTTTTTGGTGGCTGCTTCTTCATTTTTCTAGCACTTCATTTTTCTACCCTCTGAGAGTCTGCCCAAGTACACTGTGTGTGGAAGCTGAGACTGTCTGGATGTTCTTACCATAGCAGTTTGTTCTTACCGTTTTTTAATGGTGTTGCTTTAGTGTCTTTTGATGCCATAAACATCTCAAACTTTAATATTTCAGTGTATGATAGACATTCATGGCTTCCATCTCTGACTTATCATTATTTTGTATTGTGAAGGTATCAGCCCTCTCTACAGAAATATCATGACCTGGTGCCTAATTTATTAAAGCTGCAGCTAATGAAGGATGAAAACATGGCTTACAGAAGTTTAAAATGACACATCTCCACATCGATAGTCTGCTTTACTTCAAACTTATGTCTGAAACCAGACTCATTTGTACCCTCCCAGCTATTGCCAGCTGCTACTCATCTCAGTTAGTGGCAGTCTCCGGACCACAAAGACATTGTGACTGCTTGCTCCTTTCCTTTAACAGCTCATTTAATTTACGTTCGTGCTGTGTTCCATTCACCTCTAAAATGTCTCTGAAATCATGGGATTTGATGCTGTGTTTTAAAGCCAGTTGTTGAGTGCATTTCCTAATCTCTTTATAGCTCCAACATTATGGGAAAGCAGCTGAGAGCCCTCCTTTATTGTCAAATCGGCAAGAGGACTTAGGTTAAAAACTGAATAAAAATTTCAGGAGATTTCAGTGTTAGAGACATTTCTCTTCAGTATACTTGAGTAAGATTTATTTCATCATCTCTGGAAACACTTGCTTTTTCCAAAACTCTGTAACCAGGAGACAGAATAGACAGTGAGAATCATTCAGAGTATGTGGGACATTGAAGGTAATTGGTAAATGAGTGGATGGACAGATGAACAAAAACAGAATGGCAGTGGTGAATGGATCCTGAACTCTGCTTCTGTTTTCTGTGTTTGCTTAATAGGAGTATGTTTTTTGTTTTGTTTTGTTTTTCTAAGAGCAATATAAATGCCAATTGTCAGAAAGACAGACCCACTTTTTATATTAATCATTACTAGAGAAACGCTGTTAGTACCTCAGCCTGCTACCTAATATCATTTTAATCTCTAGGAAACCCAAGACAGTGCTTAGAAAGTGTCTATAATTGAAGATGCAGGGGTGTTGCTTATGTGTTTAAAAAGAAAGAAGTGGATGTCAGAGGCATTGGGATTTTAACCTGATATCTTTGTAATAATAGTAATGTGCTGGAATTTTGGAAAGGTTCTTAAAATTTTTCTTATCCGCTGAGTGTCTTATTGCTAATATATCATCAGCAAAATCATGTTAGCCACACTTAATAAAAGCGAAACCATAGTATTTATTCTAACCTTTATCCCTCAACCATAGAATAATAGAATAATGAAATATTATGTTGTAAACTTGAAATACTAAGCAATAAAGGTCAATGAGTTTTTCTTGTTAATTATTCCAGTGGCTTATTCTTACAAGTTAGTTTTGTTCTGCCACACACTGAAGAAATGAAAGATGTATAGCTACTTATTTTCTGTTTCTGCTTTGCAGGGGAAGATGGTGAAGGGAATGGGAGGTGCTATGGATTTAGTGTCCAGTGCCAAAACCAAAGTGGTGGTCACCATGGAGCATTCTGCAAAGGTAACATGTACTCTGCTCACCAAATACTGCTTTTGGAAACTCACAATACACTGAAACACAGTATACTATGGTTTTTATTGTTTTCTTTGGCTCATTCAAGTGTATAGCATTTATATTTTTGAGAGAAAGATGACAAATAAAGGCAATCATTTATTACTATTTGGCTAAATGATTGTTTCATTTTGAATGAAGCCAGAACATCAGGGTATTTTTGAGATATTTGCCTCACACATTAAAAGTAAAACCTCTAATGTCTCCAAAGGCAGTGGATGCTGGGGCAGGTATATTGATTCAGGTTTTAATATGGTTGTAGTGGTTGGTATCTGTGTGCAAAATGGAAAGCACAATCAAATAATGGGTTTTAACAGTGATTATTTTCAAAGAGACACTATGGCTTCTTACCAAGGCTGTGAGGTGTCATTTCCAGAAGGTTTTAGAAAATGGTGGACTTGGTGATAGCAAGTGTCCTTATTCTGAAAAATATTATTCTTTTGTTTTGGTATATCATCAAATATTTATTGAGTGCCTGTAATGTGCTAGGCACTGCTAGGATTTGGCAGCGATCAAAACTGGACAAAAATCACTGATCTCTTGGAGCTTGTGTTCATCTTCTTCCTCTTCCTTCGTCCTTCAGTAGCAGCAGCAGCTACCATTTATTGAGCTGTTACTGTGTGCCAACGGTAAACTGAGCACTCTGTGTGTGTTTTTGTGTATAAGGCCATGAGCTTGATACAATAATTTTCTATGGCCCCAGAAACAGAGTTTCAGAAAGGTTAAAACTAATAGAACTGAAGTTAGAGTGGTGTGTCTCTGACCCCAAGGCCCAGCCTTCTCACCACAGAACTATCCATATAACTTTCTTCCTTGTTTCTGATCTAGTGTCTTTGAACCAGCTGAGCTTAATCACTCTCCTGACCTGAATCCATTGGCTTCTGCTGATTTGAAACATTGATATTCGGTGGTACCTTTTTCATTTTCTATGTCCTTTGTTTATTCTCCTTTATTCTTTCTCATTCTTGGTTTTAAACCAAAAGGTCTACCCGTTCTCACTGTGAGACCTGTTGATCTGAGTGGAAGTGGTAGCTAGTTTGCCCTGTTTTTTTAGGGATGCAGCATTGTGTGAGAGCGTGGAGCTGGGAGATGTGCACCTCACTTGCCACCCCAGGTGGGTTCTGGTGCAGAGTGGTGTGTGCTACAGAATGGTTTTGTTGTGAAAACTGCAGTACATATGAATATTATAAATTAGTAAACAGTGGGAGGTGAGCAGTGGTGCCTAACTATGGAACAATGGAAATGGAACCAGCACAGGTGACTTCTGAGAGGTGCCTTGCGAAAGCATCCAAAATACTTTTATTTCACAGGCAAAAGAACGCCAAGCATGCAAATGAAATCCACATCTTTTCCAGAACATAATGTCTATTTGCAGAAAACTTTGACTTTCCTTTTGTTGTTACTTTAATGTTGATGCATAGGCACTGAGGTTCAACTCATTTTGGATTATTTTCATGCATTCGTTTTCAAAACATTAGGCCTGTATTTAGAAAATTCTCTCTCTCTCTCTCTCTTTTTTTTTTTTTCTTTAAGTCTTTTCTTTCTCCTCAGCTGGGATTTCTGATAGAGGAAAATAAATGGTACTTCCTCTGACTAGAAATCCCTTAATAAAGCTTTCCAAAGAAGCAAGATTATATATTTTTTTCTTCTGTTGACTTCTCTCAGTGGGGAAATTAGCACTGAGTTTTAGACAAGAATTGGAATTCAGTATGTTTTCCTACTTTCATTTGAACAAACCAACAAGAAATGTACTTGTGATTAAAATAATAATAAAGATTTGTTCACACTTAACAGAGATAACCCTGAAAACCAACCAATAGAGTTTCTCTTTTTCCACCTTCTCATTTTACCTGTGGTCCTGGAATGTGCGGTTGCTACTCTGTGCTGTTAACTTGGACTCACTGTCACTGGCCCCACTCAACGGAGCACAGGGTCCTTACTACCACTTTCCTGCAGCTTTTGCTCTGGCTAGAGGTTAATAGGGGCTGAAAAGGAGTTAGGAGAGGTTTTTTACTCCTGGTAACCTCTCCAGTTAATGATCTGTTCTTTCAGACATGCCAGGTAACTTCTGCTGCCTTATGATTAAGTGAACAGACTAGGGGACTAATCCCTAGAGTTTGATAAAACATGGGAGTGAAAAGTTTGTAATGAAGGATTAACACCTGAGAAAAGAAATATACTTTTGTATTATTGTGCTGCCAATTTTCTTTGGTAAGTGGGTGCAGCTGTCTGGTTTTTAGGTGTGTCTTTTTACCCCCTTTTCCTCATCTATAGGGTTGCAGATGCCAGTTGTTTGTGAATATAGCATTGTTTGACCTTAAAAACATACTTTTTTTGCTGTTGTTTTAATCAGACACAGGAAACTCTCTCCTTGTAAACCTTTGCAGTCAGCCATTTCCTTTAGTTCAGGGGCCAGAGGCTTCTGGAACCTGAGACCTGGCTGCCTGTGCTGCGCTAGAGAAGGACACAGGAAACTCTCTCCTTGTAAACCTTTGCAGTCAGCCATTTCCTTTAGTTCAGGGGCCTGAGGCTTCTGGAACCTGAGACCTGGCTGCCTGTGCTGCGCTAGAGAACCCCTGCTCTCAGATTACCTCCGGGACATGTGGCAGGCACAGGCATCACACTAGCACTGTAACATTTTCATTTAAGCTTAGACATAAGAGATTTAGACAAAACTGTGAAGTAGCAAAGTATTTTTAGTGTCCAGCAACCTTCCTTCAGCTTCTTTTTCATCTCTTGGCATGTCCTCTCTTCTGTCCTCTAAAAGTGGAAAGGAGAGGAAGAGTTAACAGTTTCAGTGCTTCCTTGGTTGAGGTGCTGAGCCTGATGTGGCACATACTTAACCTCAGCTTCTCAGTCACCCTCTGACGTAAGATTGAGACGTGGGCAGGAGGAAGCTTGTCCAGGGAAGTGGAAGAGCTGGGAGTTCTGTTTAGTCAGGTCCAGCCAGTGTTCATCACACAGCATCATGCCGATGCTCACAGCGCTGCCTCTGTCCCAGCATCCCACCCACATCTGCCCTTTTCAGAAAGCTTCAGGTTTAACAATTTTCCCATTCTATTTGTTTATTTTCCCTGGTCAGAGCTCTCCTTGCTTCGGTGAGACAGATATCAGCAAAGTGCTTCAGAAAATACAACCAGAGAAGCTAATTGTAGCTCCTAGTACCTGCCTTCTCCCCTCGCCTCCCCCACTTTTTTGTATTAGAGTCCTCCAGGATCTGTCTGGGCTCATGGTAGTGCAGTGACAGACTATATACTTCCTAGCTTCCCTTGCATGGAGATGCCACCAGATTTGGGTCAATGGGATTTGAGCATTTGCAATGTGTATAATTTCTGAGTTATGTTCTCAAAGATAAAGCTAATTACAGTGGGCTTTCTTTGTCCCCCTTCTGTCCATCTGATGAAGGCCTTAACTGTAGCAGCAGCCTTGGGCCCAAAGTTGTATACCCAATGCCGAAAGTTGCAGAGCTGCCCCACGAACTTGGATCCATAAATGTCACATCCCCTCCTTTATGGTGTCCTGTCAGCTGTTCTCATAACTCTGTCCTGGGCCCTCTGCTCTTCCTACCCTTTGTGCCCTTCTTGGGTGCCATCTAAATTTTTGGCACCAGCTATTAGTTTTCACTCAGTGGCTCCTTAATCCATTTTTTTCCACACTAGAATTCTCCAGTGAGCTCCAGAACTCCCTGGTAGGCAGCCCCATCTGGTTGTTCCACTGCCACCTCAGCTGCAAGACATTCACAAATTACATCCTCATCATTTTCACTAAATATGTTCTTCCTCTTTTTGGCCCAACTACAGAAGTGCTGATCTCCCAGCCCCCATCTGAAAAGACACCATGATGCCCCTACACCTGTCTGTGCTGAGCACTGTAACTGTTGCGTGCACAGTACTCTTGCTGTCTTCTCCCACCTTTTTATTTCTGTTCTGTCCCTCTTTAGACCCTTGTCACATCTGCATAGGTCACATCTGCATAGGTCACTGTTGCAGGGTTTCAGAAGTCCCTGACTGCTGTACTGACCCTCCTTCCTGGTAATCAAGCACAACACTGCCAGGGTGACCAGTTTAAAACTAAAGCTGGATGGAGTTGTTTTTATTTAAAATCCTTTAGTCCAGTCAACACTGCTTGGTTCACCTTAGCCCACCTGCCTTTTGTGATCAGTTCCCCAGCAGCAGCTCATCCTTGTTTCCAGGACTTCAGTTCTGCTAAGATCTCCACAGTGTGTCGTGTTTGTCCTGTTCTTAGGTGATTCCTTGTTCTGTTCCCTACCCTTTTTATCTGGCTCACTCCTACCTCTACGAAATCACAGGTACTTGAGCCAACATTTAATGAATTTGCTGATTTAATGCCTTCCATCCTCTAGATGTTATGAATGACCAGATGAATAGTCTTTGAAACTTTGTCTTGAAATTTGGTAGAATTACCTTATACGAGTATGAGTGTGTTAAGTTACTTGTTTATGCAGGCATCAAATATTTATTGAGGACCTGCTATGTGCCAGGTACTATGACAGAGTCTGAGGAAATAAGAAATGGAGAGAGGTAGTCCTTCCTTCAGGAAGCTCAGAGCCTCACAGGGACAGAGTCATAGGAGTCATTATTTAATACAGAAGGGTGTACAAAGCAAAGTGTGCAGATTTGAGTACCTGATTCATTTTGGTGGAGCTACAAAGAGGCTTCTCATGGATGTGTGGAGCATTTTCAGGGAGATCTGAAGTGGGGGCAGAGTTTGACAGAGAGTACAGTGTTGCAGGGAATGAGGGAATGGACACTGGGGTGGAGGACAGTGTGTTGAGGGGTTTACAGTTAAGCCCCTGTTGTCAGAGAGCAAAAGAAGACGACTTAGGTAGAAACACACACACATACACACATACACAGTCTGTTCTCCACACAGTGGCCGGAGTGATTTGTTTTTAAAGTATAAGTGGGATCATGTCACTTCTTCCTCAG